TGAACAAACCCTGCATCCTAGGAATAAACTCTACTTGATTGTGGTGGATAAGCTTTTTGATGTGCTTCTGGATTCAGTTTGCCGATATTTTGTTGAGAATTTTCAAATCAATGCTCATCATGAATATTGGAAGTTTTCTTATTTTGTTGTATCTCTGCCAGCTTTTTGTATCTGGATGATGCTGGCTTCATAGAATGAGTTAGGGAGGAATCCATCCTCCTCAATTTTTTGGAATAGTTTCAGCAGGAATGATACCAGCTGTTCTTCATACATCTGGTAGAATTCAGCTGTGAATTCATTTTGTCTTTGGATTTTAAGTATTTATTAATTTTTTTATTGTTAAGCTATTTATTACTAACTCATTTTCAGAGCTTGTTGTTGGTCTGTTCAGGGATTCAATTTCTTCCTTGATCAGTCTTGGGAGAGTATATATGTCAGGAATTTCTCTCTTTCTTCTAGATTTTCTAGTGTGTGATGTACCACATTTTCTTTTATCCAATTTACCATTGATGGGCACCCAGGTTAATTCCACATCATTACTTTTGTAAATAGACTGGTGGTGAACATACTAGTGCATGTGTCTTTCTAGTATAATGATCTATTTTCCTTTGAGTATATACCCAGTAATGGGATGGCTATGTGGAATGTTAGCTCTATTTTAAGTTCTTTGAGAAATCTTCAAACTGCTTTCCACATTGGCTAAACAAATTTGCATTCCCACTACCAGTGTATAAGCATTCCCTTTTTTCTACAGCCTTACCAGCATATGTTGCTTTTTGATTTTTTAATAATGGCCATTCTAAACTGGGATGAGACGGTGTTCCATTGTGGTTTTAATTTGCATTTCTCTGGTGATTAATGATGATGAGGATTTTTTTTGGTCACTTGCATGTCTTTTTTGAGAAGTGTCTGTCATGTCCTCTATTCTGTTTTTAATGGAGTTATTTGGGGTTTTGCTTATAGATTTATTTAAGTTCCTCAATATTAGACCTTTGTTGGATGCACAGTTTGTGAACATTTTCCACCACTACATAGGTTGTCTATTTACTCTGTTGATAGTTTCATTCACTCTGCAGAAGCTCTTTAGTTTAATTAGGTTCCACTTGTCAAATTTTACTCTTCTTTTTCTTAATATATATTTTATTGCATTTTAGGTTTTGGGGTACATGTGAAGAACATGCAAGATTGTTGCATAGGTACATACATGGCAATGTGGTTTGCTGCCTTCCTCCCCATCACCTATATCTGGCATTTCTCCCCATGCTATCCCCACCCACACTGTCGCTCCCCTAGTTTCCCCCTACAGACCCCAGTGTGTGATGCTCCCCTCCCTGTGTCCATGTGTTCTCATTGTTCAACACCCGCCTATGAATAAGAACATGCGGTGTTTGATTTTCTGTTCTTGTGTCAGTTTGCTGAGAATAATGGTTTTCAGGTTCATCCATGTCCCTACAAAGGACATGAACTCATCATTTTTATGGCTGCATAGTATTTCATGATGTATATGTGCCACATTTTCCCTGTCCAGTCTATCATCAATGAGCATTTGGGTTGGTTCCAGGTCTTTGCTATTGTAAGCAGTGCTGCAATGAACATTTGTGTACATGTGTCCTTATAATAGAACGTTTTATAATCCTTTGGATATATACCCAGTAATGGGATTGCTGGGTCAAACAGAATTTCTATATCTAGATCCTTGAGGAATCGCCACACTGTCTTCCACAATGGTTGAATTAATTTACACTCCCACAAACAGTGTAAAAGTGTTCCTATTTCTCCATATCCTCTCCAGCATCTGTTGTCTCCAGATGTTTTGATTGTCCTCTTCACAAAACTGGAAAAAAACACCTTAAACTTCATATGGAACCAAAAGAGGCCCACTTAGCCAAGACAATTCTAAGCAAAAAGAACAAAGCCAGAGGCATCATGCTACCTGATTTCAAACTATACTACAAGGCCAGAGTAATCAAAACAGCATGATAGTTGTACAGAAACAGAGATATAGACCAATGGGACAGAAGAGAGGCCTTGGAGGCAATGCCACACACCCACAACCATCTGATCTTTGACAAACCTGACTAAAATAAGCAATGGGGAAAGGATTCCCTGTTTAATAAATGGTGTTGGGAAAACTGGCTAGCCATGTGCAGAAAGCAGAAACTGGACCCCTTCCTTACACACTAAAATTAACTCCAGATGGGTTAAAGACTTAAACATAAGACCTAACACCATAAAAACCCTAGAAGAAACCTAGGCAAAACCATTCAGGACATAGGCGTAGGCAAGGACTTCATGACTAAAACACCAAAAGCATTGGCAACAAAACACAAAATAGACAAATGGGACCTAATTAAACTCCAGAGCTTCTGCATAGCAAAAGAAACAATCATTAGAGTGAACTGGGAACCAAGAGAAAGAGAAAAAAAATTTGCAATCTACCCACCTGACAAAGGGCTAATATTAAGAATCTACAAAGAACTAAAACAGATTTACAAGAAAAAACAAACCCATTCAAAAGTGGGTGAAAGACATGAGCAGACACTTTCAAAAGAAGACATATATGAGGCCAAAAAACATATGAAAAAATGCTCATCATCACTGATTATTAGAGACATGCAAATCAAAACCACATTGAGATACCACCTGGCGCCAGTCAGAATGGCAATCATTAAAAAATCTGGAGACAACAGATGCTGGAGAGGATGTGGAGAAATAGGAACACTTTTACACTGTTGGTGGGAGTGTAAATTAGTTCAACCATTATGGAAGACAGTGTGGCAATTCCTCAAGGACCTAGATACAGAAATTCCATTTGATCCAGCAATCCCATTACTTGGTATATATCCTAAGGATTATAAATGGTTCTATTATAAAGACACATGCACACAAATGTTCACTGCAGCACTTTTACCATAGCAAAGACCTGGAACCAACCCAAATGCCCATTGATGATAGACAGGACACAGAAAATGTGGCACATACACATCATGGAATACTATGCAGCCATAAAAAAGGATGCATTCATGTCCTTTGCAGGGACATGGATGAATCTAGAAACCATCATTCTCAGCAAACTGACACAAGAACAGAAAATCAAACACCACATGTTCTCTCATAGGTGGGTGTTGAACAATGAGAACATATGGACACAGGGAGGGGAGCATCACATACTGGGGTCTGTGGCAGGGGATAGAGGAGGGACAGCAGAGGGTAGGGAGGTTGGGGAGGGATAACACGGGGAGAAATGCCAGATATAGGTGATGGGGGGATGGAGGCAGCAAACTACATGCGTGTTCTGCGCATGTACCCCAGAACTTAAAGTGCAGTAAAAAAAAATTTATATATATATATATATATATATATATATATATATATATATGTACTCCACTGCATCATTCAAAGGTGGAACTCCACTGCATCATTCAAAGGTGGATTTAATGTTTAATACTTTTTTTAAAAATCTGTAATTTATTTCCATGGTTTTGATCAGTTTTGTACCTATAATAATTCTAAAGATAATTCAATCCAGAAGAAATGTTTTAACACAGAGTCTTATGATCACAGAAATTTTTTTAAATGGGAGTTATCAGTAAAATATTTCCAGAAATAAAGAAGAATTACATTGCATCTAAAATTTTCAATGAAAAAATATCAGTGAAAATGTACATTCACAGCCATAAAATTTTTTGAAAAAACACATGCACACAATGAAGGGAACAATAGGGTGTAAGGTGGGGATAGTTAATGGGCACAAAATAATCAAACGAATGATGAAGACCTATTACTTAATAGTGCCATTATAATCAATAATAATTTTATATTTTACAATCACTTAAATATTATAATTGAATTTTTTATGCAAAGGATAAATGCCTGAGAGGATGGATACCCCATTCTTCATGGTGTGATTATTACACATTGCATGCCTGAATCAAAACATCCCATGTACCCCGTAAATATATACACTTACTAGGTACCCCCCAGAATTTAGAATTTTTCTTTAAAAAACAAGAGAACAATAGACACTGAGGCCTGCTGAAGGGTGGAGGGTAAGGACTGAAAATCTACTATTGGGTACTATGCTCATTACCTTGATAAGAAAATAATCTGTACATCACATCCCTGTGACATGCAATTTACCCATATAACACCCCCACATATGTACCCCCTGAACCCAAAATGTAAGTTGAAAAAAAAAGAAAATATATATTCACAGAAAAAAAGGAAATATGATGGTATCAAATCCATAGAGTATTTATGTTTCATTCTTTACACTTACAAAAGTAATACAATAGTTTATTGCAAATACGCATATTTACTGTGTCAAAAAGCACATTTTTGCTACTATAGGCTTACCTTGGTGATAGTGCAGGTTCAGTCCAAGGTCACTAAAATAAAGCAAATATTGCAATAAAGCAAGTCATAAAGATTTTTTTGTTTCCTAGTGAATATAAGTTATATTTACACTCAAATCTATGCACATAAAGAATAAAATCTGGAGGAAATGGATAAATTCCTGGAAACACAGAATCTCCCAAGATTGAACCAGGAAGAGACAGAAACCCTGCATAGAACAATATCAAGCTCTCAAGTTGAATTAGTAATAAAAAGCTTACCAACCAACAAAAAAGCCCTACACCAGATGAATTCACAGCTGAATTCTACCAGATGTACAAAGAATAACTGGTACCAATCCTACTGAAACAGTGCCCAAAAATCAAGGAGGAAGATCTCCTCCCTAACTCATTCTATGGAGCCATCATCAGCCTGATACAAATATCTGGCAGAGACACGATGGAAAAAGAAAATTTCAAGCCAGCATTCCTGATGAACATATATGCAAAAATTCTCCACAAAATACTAGCAAACTGCATTCAGCAGCACATGAAAAAGTTAATACACCACGAGTCCTGTTCTCATCCCCTCATAGTAGGTGAAGGTGAGACCTTGTATCTCCTATTCATTCTTTCCTCAACTCTTTACTTACTGATTGCTTAAGAGAAGGTAGCAGAAATTTATTTGCACAGTGTCTGGATGTAGTAGCAGTTCAATGACTATTAATAAGTAAAAGAAGATATTGGAGAAGGAAAATGATCAGAACAAAAATGATGACAAGAGATGGCTCCCGAAGCACATTCTGGCTGTGGCAGGTGATAAGGCCCGAGCATTTTCGTAAGGTTTTATGGCGAGTCTTAATAATGCCCCATTCTCGTTGTTGATCTTCCCCTCTGGTTCCTCCAAGTATTATTACTTCTTCACAGAAGAGTAGATGACTTGGCAGTCCTGGGAGAGACATACAGGAATAAGGACCTAAGTGATCAAGGAAAGAAATACCGTGGACGAAAGAAAGATCAAGAACTTCCAAGGAGTCTAGCTCACCTTGTTCTCCAGAAATGTCCTGATGTTTGCTGTTAAGAAAAAAGTAATAGTTCTGAGCCCCTGCATTCTCACTTAGACCTCACTCCCAGACTTCATGCCCCAGAACATAGAACTACTATGCTTAGTGTGTGGAATTCCATTTTCTCCTGTTCTGTACAATCCTTCTTAAAGTTGTTAACGCTGAAGTCCTTCTAAGACTCTATCCATTGTCCAAGCCCTCCACCACTTACTAACAAAGCCCTTCCCTTCTCTAACGCAACTTCCCGTAGGTCGCTGTCTTTATATTTTTTTCTCCTTGATTTCTCTATTACAGTATCCTGCCAGGGCTGTTTCCTGCTGTTTCCCTATGTTCCTGTGTGGTTCACCTCACTATATAGAAGGAAATTGGAGCAGAAGCATAGATAACAGAAGACAGATTCTGAATTACACAGCATTTTGAGTGGTTGCAGGTGCTACTTAGTGATGTCTGCTGCTTTTCCCTTTCTTTCCAGGCATGCATAGTGGGATGAAATCTCTTTCCTTCTCCCGAAGATTTATAGCTAGAGGGCTTGGAAAATGAACATCCAGTGAAAATGAAGGCAAATTTTGATTCTGCTAGGCTGGTCAGATAGAGAAAGACAATGATAGGGTAATCAATTCGCTGTAGGAAGCCGAAGTGGCACGAATCTAAGCAAGGCGGGCAGAGGACCCAACTTCAGAGGAGAGTAGCTAGATGACCACTGACTAGGAAATCAGCCAAGCTGTCAACAGCCACTGGCTCCATCAGAGGCAACCAGGAACACAGAACAAAGGACAGCTTTTAGGGTTGTTGGAATAAGGGTTATAGTTTTAAGGGCACTGGGGCAGAAGCTTAAAGGACATTCCTCTGCACTGCTGCAGAACTCTACAATTCCTGCAAAGCTACATGGCAAAGTAAAAATTCTCTAGGTCAGGTTTATTCATCCAGTTACTCCTCCCATCCCATGTGAAGACTGCAGATCCTTCAAAAGAGACACTTTAATGACCTTGTTCACCTGAAGGAATTCCTCTTGGACTTTAGACATGCTCATTCTTGCCTGATTTCCTTCCTTTGCCTTGTATCTTAGATTCTCCCTGACTATCTAACCCCATTCAAATGAAGACTCATTAGACCATCTCCCTATTTTTTTTAAGTTTGCTTTCTTCACAAGAGAATATCTCCAGGTGTCTCTTGCTCCCTCCTGGATCAACAGATTTCATATCAAGGGCAAGCAGTGTATTAAAGTCTATCGCCAGGTGCAGAGGCTCACACCTGTAATTCCAGCACTCAGGGAAGCCAAGGCAGGTGGATCACTTGAGGTTGGGAGTTTGAGACCAGCCTGGCCAACAGGATGAAACCCTGTCTCTACTAAAAATATGAAAATTAGCTGGGCATGCCTGTCAGACCAACTACATGGGAGGCTGAGGCAAGAGAATAGCTTGAACTCGGGAGGCAGAAGTTGCAGTGAGCTGAGATTGCACTACTGCACTCCAGCCTGGGTGACAGAACAAGACTCCGTCTCAAAAATAAATAAATAAAGCCTCTATTGCATACAATGCATCACTTGCCTGCGAATATGCATCTGACAAGAACCATTTTACTTTTTCTCACCTGAGTCTTCTGGCTGCTGGATGCTCCTGACCTGAGAATAAACCACATCCATATCTACAGAGCCCACTGCGGAGAGAAGACAAGAGTTCACAGATGTTGGTGGCCAAGGGTTCAAACTTCACACACATCTTCCCAGACCCTGGCTTAATGATCTGGATTGGCTTCCTCCCAACTCCAATACAATTCTGAGAGAGTCATTTATTTATTGGGAATGGCTGGGCCTCAGGGGTTGGGGTGGCTAGACGGGTCTCTACTTCTGTCTCCTCTTTCTTTTCTGCCTCAGCCTCAGAGCCCCTCCCAGTGGAGAAACTCACCATTGGCATACACTGGCTGCAGCTCCTCCATGTCTGGGATTGGGCTGGAATGGGTGGATGCCTGAGGATTTGGCCTGGAAGCACCTCTGTGAGGAAGTGAATTAACTGCATGAGTCTCCAGGGCTGTGAGTGAGAACAGCGGGGAGACAGGCTGGGGAGAGAGCAGGTAGAAGTCATGAATCATGACTCTATGCTTGGGTGATTTTATGTCCCTTTTATAGACTACTTTGATTTGGCCAAAATGTTCCTCATCTTTGGCTTTTCCAAAAGTTATAGATAAGACAATGATATTGCTCCAGAATCATTTTCTTTCTTATAAACTGCTGTAAAATTTTGCCTGCCTTTTTCTCATGACTTTATCTCCTTCACTCCTTCTTGTACTCTGGACTTATATTACATACCTATAAGACAGTATGTCCCTTGAGGAAATAACATTTTATGTGTATTTTCATTTCTCTAAATACCTAACAAAAACTTACTTATTCATTATATGTATTCAATAATCTTAAATATATGAATTCATAAATTAAGTTAAATATATCTAATCCTATACAAGATAACACCTAGGCTCATGTGGACCACAATAAAACAGTGCCCTGGTGGTGTAAATGTAATGCAGCAGAGACAAGAGTAAGTATTATAGAAAGATGCCATGTACTTACATAGCCTCCATCTCTATGTACAAGCAGAGTTCAGTGGATATTTAAAACTGCGAATGAAGGAGACCTCTAGAATTAAAATTTTTACCAGAAAGAATTCTCACCTGGGTTCACTAGTTGCATAACTTTCTCCTGAAAAGCAAATAAAAGAAAATTCATTTAGAGAAGGAAGCTTTATCTCTTAAAATTTTGACATGACTTAACTGTGTATGATCAGCTGGTGAGACATAGGATATAGAAGAGTCATCCAATTGTATTTCATCTAAATGGCTACATATTTATTCCAACACAACTAGTTGTCAGAAAAACAATTCATTCTTTTTTTCCCCACTGATTTAAAATGCCACTTCAAATGGCAAACCCTGCCTGAACTGCTAAGTGCTTCTTGATTTTCTATTCTGTTCGATTGTCTCTTTGTTTATTCATGTACCTGTACAATGTTATTTTAACTATCATAAAATAACATATTTTAACCACTGATGACACTAATTTTATCTTATTACTCTTCTGGAGTAGATTTTATGCAGCCATGCTTAATTTTTGAAAGTTTTGTTTTTTGTTTTTTGTTTTTTTGAGACAGAGTCTCACTCTGTCGCCGGGTGCCAGGCTGGAATGCAGTGGCAAAACCTCGGCTCCCTGCAACCTCTGTCCCCCGGGTTCAAGCAATTCTCCTGCCTCAGCCTCCTAAATAGCTGGAACTACAAGCACACACCACCACGCCCAGCTAATTTTTGTATTTTTAGTAGAGACGGGGTTTCACCATGTTGGCCAGGATGGTCTCAATCTCTTGACCTCATGATCTGCCTGCCTCGACCTCCCAAAGTGCTGGGATTACAGGCGTGAGCCACCACGCCCGGCTAGCCATTCTTAATTTTTAAATGTTTGCAACACCTAGTCTGTAGCAGTGATCTTGGGGTTAGGCTGAATATTGACATTTGTAAGGCACACTAGGCCATCTCTTGCAGCATTTTGCTTTGCAGAGAGATGTAAAACAAGAAACGTAGCATTTCACCATCGATACATCAGCTGTGTCTTCAGAGGGAGTTCTCACAGTGATCCAGAAGATATTTTCTAATCCTCCAATTAATAGCTCAGGAAACAATGCCACTAATGCCATTAATAGCTCAGGAAACAGTGGATGTGTATAGGGGTCACCCTGGCTCAAAAGCTTCATGCTTCGTAGAAATCATTATCATTTGTAACACCTGTGAGCGTATGAGTGTAGCTTCCAGAGGTCACCCCTATAAGACACATGCTAAATTTCAAGAGGTACAGTGCACTTGAGGATGCTCCAGCTGTGCTTCCCATCAGGCTTTATAATCCTGGTCAAAGTCCTCCCAGTTTAGATGCAATTTGCCAATCATGGAAAATGCTGCTAGTAGCTCTGCTAATATTTCAACTTTGTTAGGTTTCACAGAAAACAGTGCTAGAAAATTGACTTTGATTTAGTTTGCCAAGGAGAAGGTAAAACTTCTTTATAATTAGCTTGTTTAGTCTTCAAGGACAGGAATGACCTCAGAATTGTCTACCAAGCCAAACTGTCATTAAAGCATGTCATATTCAAACACGTATTAAATCAGTCATATTCAAACACGTATTAAATCCGTCTATATGTTTCTAGCAACTCCTTGAAGAAATTATTTTAAAATGGACTTCAGAATAATTCTACTATCTAAGCACTTTTGAATAACAAAATCTGATGATACATTGATTCACAAAGAAAACCTCCAAAATATCTCAAAAATAGACATGATACAAATAATATTCTTTGATCATAATGGAACTGGTAATTCATAACAAAACTGAAAAAATTGACGTATGTCTATAATTTGTCAATTTAAAGGAAGCAAGTCTTAAGCAACTGAATACATATAAAAATATATAAGAAAAAACGGAAAACTAAATATCCAATTTGTTCAAAAGAATAAAACTAACAAAAATGAAAGGCAATAACTAACAAAGATGAAAGCAGAATTCTAGAATTAAAAAGCAAAATTGGTAAAACAAATAATAAATTCTAAGTTTTACCGTATAAGAGATAGAGGTGCTATCTTTCTAGATGATTACGTTTCAAAGGGACAGCTCCCAAGTCCTAGAGATAGACATTTCTGGGTTGTAAAACTGACAAGAGGCTAGGAGAAATTTGTTTCTCAAAGAGGCAGAGAAAGGATTTACAATTGTAAGTTTTCTAAAGTAAATAAGAAAAGGGAGATGAGGAGTCTATAGTCAATCCGAGGACAGTATTAAGGCCAGCTTGGTTCGGGGAGGAGTGCCCTGTGTGGACACATGCCTGAGGAATCTTAAGGAGCAAACTTCCTCTTGAAAAGCAGGTGAAGGAACATTCATTTCAGGGAAGGTATGATCATCTGCCTAAGGCAGGAGCTGCATATTTACAGGAGGGTGCAATGGTGTGTGAGTGTTCTTGTGGATGGATCTGAGCCCTGTGGAAGAGAGGCCTAGCTTGAAGCCATTTCAAAATCTGCCCAAGAGGACTGCCTGAAAGGTATGGGGTTCCAAAACGAGGGTAGAGGGGAAGGGGAATAAGGATCTAGATTCTTAGAAACTGAAGAGAGATGTTAACCGCTCAGCTGGAGAAAAATGAATCACCTGCAAGAAGGGTAGGTAATGTTAATAGTTGAGGGCTCTGGAGAATCCAGAAGCATCCCACCAAAATAAGAGCTGATTTTCTCAATCCAGCAAACTTGGAGAGTCAGCTTTGTTAGAGCCAGAGGAAATCAATTCCAACCATGGGGGCTTCAAAAACAGAAGCCAGTTGAGGAAAGAGAGAAACATCTGGCTAGAAAACTTTACACACTGCAGAAGGCTGACCTGAAGAGGGTCTCAGGTGAGTGGGTGGGTGCTTTAACTCTGTGATTCAGAAAGCTTTTCATCATTATTACAGGAGACCAAGCACACTGATTAATGAACAAGGACTCTTTGGAGAAACTACATTTTTGTTGTTGTTGTTGTTGTTTGCCTAAAATTACATAGAAGTGATACGGTTTGTCTATGTCCCCACCAAAATCTCATCTTGAATTCCCACATGTTGTGGGAGAGACCCAGTGGGAGGTAATTTCATCATGGGGCAAGTCTTCCCCGTACCGTTCTTGTGATAGTGAATTTACATCTTTTGTAAATTGCCTAGTCTCAGGTATGCCTTTATAAGCAGTATGAAAACCAACGAATCCAAGGAGTAAGTGGATAGACTAGGGCCTACCTGAGATTTCAAACAGAGTAAGGGAAAATATAAGCCCCTAATAGTGAGTGTGAATGGGCATCGGGAAGAGGGAGACAAAAAATTAGGTTTTATGGTTGCACTCCAAGAGTACCCTGGTTCAATGAATCAATTACAATAGCAAAAATCAATCAATATTTCAGGACTAAGCTTAGCAAGAAATGATGAAAGCCTATATAAGTAAAACCCTAAAATACTATGACTCAACATTTTCCAAAAGTAGACATGCTCTTGGATAGAAAAATTTCTCATTATAAAGCTGTCAATTCTTCCTTAATCTCAAAATTTAAGAGAATCCTAACAAAAACAATTTGAGAGATACTTGATTATATTGCTTGTGGGGAAAAATAAATAAGCAATAACATCCAGAAAAACTCTGTAAGAATAACATAGTCATGATGGGAACAACCTTGATAGAAGAAATAAATGTATTGCTATAAAGCAAAGGCATTCAAATCATACACACAAACACACATACACACATATTGACATACACACAAACAGAATAGAGCATTAAAGTTAGATCTGAATAGTATTTGATATTTAGTATAGCTAACTGTTTTTATCCACAACACTTCTGTCACTGGATTTGTGAGTCTTTCTTCCCCCATATCAGTCGGTTTTCCAACTCTTACAATACTAACTACAATTAAACTCAGTTCTGACGCTACTCAGAGTTAGTGTAGACCCCATAGGTAAAGGGCTGTGTCCCGCAAAACTGCCTTCAACTCCAGATGCCAATAATATGTCATGGGCTTCATAGCCTTCTGACCAAATGGTTGTAAATTGGGGATTCTCATACTCCCTCCTCAGTTTCAGTAATTTTCTATATAGAACTCAGAGAAACACTTCAGTTACTCTTAATAGTTTATTTTAAAGGATATTATAAAAGATGCAAATATAAAACCAGATGAAAAAAGTTAGGTAAGGCAATGTCTGGAAGTGTACTGGACACTGGAGTTTCCATCTCCATGGGAATGGGGTGCTCTACCCTCCCAGTACATAGATGTATTTACCAACTGGCAAGCTCTCCAAATCCCATTGTTTAGGATTTTTATAGTGCTCCCATTACATAGGTATGATTGATTAAATGATTGGCAACTGGTGGTTACATAAATCTTTAGTCCCTCTCCTGTCCTCAGAGGTCCACAGGTGGGGCTGGAAGTTCCAACCCTCTAATCACAAGGTTGGTGTTTCCAAAAACCAGCTCTTATCTTGAAGCTATCCAGGAGTCCCTCTGTTGAGACTCATCTCATTAACATACCAAAGATGAACTCTTCTACTAAGAACTAGAAAGGCTGGGCAAAAGAGTTTTAAAGTCTGTTTATAAGCATTGAAAAGGCAGTAAGATAGCGAAAATTTGCTGAGACAGGAGAGCAGAGAGGATCAGGGAGTGTGAGGATAAGCCCACCCAGCATGGCTTTGCCCTCCACCTGACCACACCAGAGCACACAGCCTAGAGACCAGGGAATTACACAGCCCAGTCCACCACCATGGTACCTAATCCTCATCCAGGAGGCCTGAGGTTGGATTTACCAATCCTGCCACTATCACCCCAACTGATGCCTACCCACATGCACCACCTGTCCAGCCTACCACAGCCACTACCAACACCAGTTTGCACTGTTTGGGACTCAGAGGGTAGTCCTGTCACTGTCACATGCCCAAGCCATGCTGGCTGCCCAGGAGCCTAGGACCCTTTCCCCTGCCTGGCCCAGCATTGCCACTATAGGTATGTGATTAAGTCACTTGGAGAAACAATAATTGGCAAACTTTTTGAATACCTTTTAAAAAGCATTCAAATTATTGGGGTCCCAGATGACAAAGACAGAATGAAAAGGTTAGAAAACCTATTTAATGAAATAATAGATGAAAACTAAAGTCTAGCAAAAGATTT